AACGCTTTAAGAAACAAAATTAACTTTTATATATCTTAATATAAACGTTTAAGTTATGACTTTTAAATCTGGTAAGTAGTGGATACCACCATTTCATGTCCCTTAATTACATATCTTTTTATTTATTACTGTATTGACATTTTAAATTTCAATTTTGAAGTTTCTACTAATTATTCAATTTAAATAAACATTTTTTTTTTAATTTCACTCTTCTTAAATCACAAATCCTTTCATCTCCAGTTTCTTCACTCACAATAAATCATTAGCAAAACTAAGTAGCCTAAGCTGTTATAAACTTCAGAAATATTGCTGTGCCTTATCAATACAGTCTTTTGAAATATTAAAGAAACTATACCTATAGGTACTATAAAAAAAAAAAAAATAATAATAATTTAGCATTTAAGACAGCAGATAAAACTAATATGATTATTAAAGCATCAAGGACTACAAAATTTAACAGCAAATACAGTAGCCTATATGTTTCATTAAATCTCTGATTCTACTCTACAAAAATATCAACTTAATAGATAAACGAGTTCTTTTAATCAGTTCCATCGTCCATTGCCTTTACATTTTCACAATTACCATCAAGTAAACATAGTAACAGATGTTTCATTGATTTTAGAAACAAAACAGCACGGTGTAGGCTACTGCTTAGTTTTATGATATTTTCCTTGGTTTAATTTAATCAGTGGTGTAGCAAAACGCAAATAATAAATCTATAAAATAAAATAAATGTGAACTGAAAGCTATGTTAAGATAAAATAATAGTATTTTGTATTACCATTTGATAATTAATTTTAGTTACACATATACAACAGATTTAAAAAAACAAAAATCAACTACTTACAATTAAGTTATTGATGATATTCTTTAGTTTAATTTAAGCATAGGTTCAGCAAAACACAATAACTTAATTTACCTAAATATACATATAAAATACCCCCGCCGCAGCAAACCTGCCGTCTAAGCGAATTTCCATTTGGCTGAATTGATTTTCAATTGATCTATTTAAATAACATTAGGTTTAACGAGTACCTAGGTTTGCTGCTACAAGGAAACTAATAAAGTGTGTTTTTAGTAAAATATTGATACCGTAGCTTACTATAAAATAAAAAAATTTGCCAAGTTTGATCAAAATATATCCATAAACAAGCAAACTACAACATTTTACAATATTCTCCATAAGAATAACATGGGAATTTTAAATTTACCATTTTTTTAGTTTTCTCCGTAACCAATAAACGTACAAGAACACTTTGATATACTGAATTGTTTGTTTTTTTAAGCTCTTTAAGAAGGTTTAGAGAAAAATTGGGAAATTTTGTGTTTTGAGGGTCAAAAAATGAGAAAAACCAATTTTTACCCCATAAAACCCTGTTCCCATAGTCAGATCATGCTGGATCGCGAACTCATTCAAGTTTATCCCGCCTTACACCTTCAAACCAAATTTCATCAAAATCGGATAAAAATTACTCAAGTTATCGTGTTCATGGACACATATATATATATATATATATATATATATATTATATATATATATAAATTTGAACGAATGGTGTTTTTGGCCTCTGGGGACATCAAAATGAAAAAGTAAATCGGTCCCGGGCCTAAGTCTTACCATGAGACCTACGGTAATAGCTACTTCCCTATAGGGAAATTCGCTAAAACAATGTGATGTGCAAGTTACGTTAAGTTAATCTAACACGTTAAGCAGTTAGAATTTATTTAAAGTATCCTCCAAATTCATATAAAACATCTATACATATTTTTATTTTCATACTGTTTCCATGAAATCATATCAATAACATTATTTTCATAGCTTAGACGCCTTAAAAAAATCCAAAGCAGAGCCGGAGTTGAAACGGGGAGTTGATACAGCAACGGTTATAGAATATTTTTTAATATAATCATTGACATAGTTTTAGAATAAATAATCCATGATAAAAGGTTAGATTAAAATAAACTAGGGATGGTCAAGTCTCGATATTTCGGGAAATTTTAAATCTCGTTACACGAGACGAGATTTCTTTTTGGCTGAGATTTTTATCGAGACGAGAATAAAAAAAAATTAAAAAAAATTAAAAACGCCTGCAGAAAGTCAATGCAATACCCGCAATACAGGAGCGTGTTGTAGTTGCGTTTCCTTTGCGAAGGCGTTCTTATTTAATTAATTCTATAAATGTAAATATTACTCTAATTATTTTAATAATATTACTTTAATAACATTTGAGAAGTTTTGTTAAGTGTAAGCAGTGTGAGGAATGTTTTATTACTATAAAAAGTCAAAACAAGTAACTATTTTATAAAAATTAATATTGCTTTTATTTTATGATTTATTTTATTTTAGGATAAGTTGAACTCTACCCTAACTGATATCACTATGTTTCCTAATCGTAGGCATTTTTAATAAGTTAGGTGTGATTAATAAAAAAATGTTATGCTGATGTTTTTTAATAAAAGATTGTAAATATTCTTGCCTTTATCATTATTTTTGTATTTAAACAGTCATCTAACAATGTTACAAAATCAGGTAAAAATTTTGAACGTGCATTTCCCGTTGTGTACGAAAAGGGAAATCCCGTCTCGATCTCGTCTCGAAATTTTATGAGAAATAAAAAATCTCGTCTCACTAAAAATTCAATCTCGTCCATCCCTAAAATAAACCTACCTCATAGTTATGGAAGATATTACATATATTTAATTTCTTTGTATCAGCTGTCTGAAATTGTGAAATATGCAGTTTAGCAGTTCTTCTTGTTTACATTTAAATGTCAAAGCAAATGTAAACAAACATCAAACATTGTTAGTGTTCTCATCGCAGCCATGAAGACCAATCAATATTTACTTTAAAATCTTCACCTCAGAACTTTTAAAGCCAAAGGGGCAAAGCCTACGGTCAGTATCGAAATATAAATAGTCCTATAATGGTCCTTGGTATGGTAACTATAGTTTTGTAAACTTTTAGCCCAGTTGGTTCAGTAATTTTTGCACCTATTAGTAACACACATACAGTCAGACACCATTAGATTTTTATATAATAGTATAGATTATTTTAATTAGGCCTATGTATGTATAACATACTCTATTCTAAAGTAGACTCCCTCTTATCCGGACACCTTTTAACTGGACATCGGTTTAACCGGACTACACTCGGCGGAAATTACATATCCTTAACCGGACAATTTTTATCAGCACATTGGTTTAACCGGACTAGATCGGCAGGAAGTGGGCAGTACTGAAACGACTGTTCTCGTGAGAAAGATTTGAGACCAGTGATCACGTGTCTAAATACAATGCTCTCCTAAATTTACGTTGAATATCGCAGTAAACAGTCTGTTTTAATGAGTTTTTACAGACGTCGGTTTAACCGGAAACCCAGATATCCGGACTATCCTCGGTCCCGAGGAGTCCGGATAAGAGGGAGTCTACTGTATTTGATAAAATATTGAGTATGCTAGTATTATTTGGTTTTTAATATTATTGTATCAGCAAAAAAGTAAGATTTTTTTATATTTAAAATAAGTCCTACTTTTCCTACTTTTTTGGGGTCAAAAACCACTTGGGGGCCTGTGGTATACACTTTTATTATTCATTGTAAAGAATAAATTACCATTTAAAATAATAGTTGTTAAGCGCAGCAACGTGCGCCGGGTAACTGCTAGTTACAAAAATATAAAAGTGTTTTAAAAAACAATTTTTTAAATAGGGACCAAAAACTCTATAACAACGAAACAATTTGAAAATTGATGTAGGGGCTATTACAAACACGATTCATTTGTACTGTAGGCTATATACAATTTAATTTCAAGTGGGAGTTTCCACACCATTGCAAACCATTTTATAGAGCTTCAAAAATAAATAATTTTGTATATTTTTAAGCGTTGTACAGATGGTTGCGAATGGTTACAGAGAAAATTCCAAAAAAACTTGATTTAGAATGCCCATGTATTCCCATAGAGAAAAAGTACACTGCCGTAGGCCTAGTTTGCTTTTTTTTTATTTTGACTGTTATGGAGTAAATCTGACATTATAAAGGAAATAATGTACAGTATTCTAATGAAGATTCAATCAGGGACATGGAAATTCGCTGAATCTGCAGGTTTGCTGGCAGCGAGGTTATTATCAAAAGTTCCGTTTACTTTACAGGACTCGACTTGCTCTTAGTTTTGTGTAGTTTATAGTAAGCTCACCCTGTGTTTTGGCTGACCACTACAGCACTTCACCTTGCTTTGTACAGCCCCTTCTTGCGTATAAACTGGTCTTGGTGGTAAAACGCACCCAATATTCACAGCCATGAACACTAACACTAACAACTAACACTAACAAAACAACTATACTAAACACTAAACAATGACTCAATGACTACACAGTGACACGTCCGTAGGCCTATATACCCCCCGACCTGAACTGACGAGAGAGACTGCGCCGCGCGACTGTGAGACTTGGAGTGGGGGTTGATGGGGGTGGGTAGGTGCGGAGGTAAATGTTCCGCACTCACGGACGGCGCATATGCAGTGTTCGGCGACAGTTTTTGAGGTTATTAGTGGTCGTATCGCATTGAGCAGTATACCGTTGAATTTGTCGTGCAATTCTCACAATTTGAGTACCCACAACATGGGTTTTGAGCAAAAAATGTTTTTTCCCGTTTTTCCCATTTCCCGGGAAAACGGGACTTTTCCACAAAAAATTAATATCATTTTTGGAATCAGCACTAAATAACGAACATTTTGAAAAAAAAAAATTTAGAGCGTTGACTGGAGGTTGATAGTTTTACCGTATTGGTTTCTATTGGTCACAACCAAAGTACTTTAGAATTATAGTTTAGTAATCATAAAATCAGATAGGTACATGATTTACCTATGAAACATTTTTCAATTCACTAAAACCTTAAAGTGTAACAATTGTATTGCACAATTAATTCTTAACTTAAACTTTACAAAGGGATGCAAATGTTTTTACATATAGGTAAAATATGTTTTTTGTTTTTTTTTTGACAGCTGGAGAGATGGTAGGGGAAGATGATGAAGACGACGAGCTAGAAGATGAACTCGACGAGGAAGATATGGATGATCTTGAAGACATTCCAGAAAGAAACAGTGTAAGTTTTTTATTGTCTACTTTTGACATTAAAGCTACCATTCCTACTTATCTCTAGGGAGGGTGTCTACCTGTCTTGAAAGTTATTGAAAAGTAGGCCTAACAGATTTTCATTTTAAGATTTCAAAAGTCACAGGAAAAACCAGGCCTAACTAAAATAAAGTTTTCCAAACCTGCCTTTTGTTTTACACTTTGCTGCAGGCAATGATTAAATTCATAGTGCAAACATGAACATAGGCCTAGTGCAAACATGTTAAATTCAGAGAGTGAAATTAAAATTATTATGGCACAAAATATTCAATGCCCAACTATCTCTCATGTTCAAGTCACTGAAAAGTATTGTCTTATTGATACCAAAGATGGTGTCTTTTAATGTTGCCCCCCGCCCCTCTCAAGTCACTGTTCAATTTAGTTTGATCAACTGGTAGACATCCTGTTAGATTATAATGGTAGCTTTTAGCAAATTTCCCCTATAGGGAATAAGCTATAACCGTAGTACTCATGGTAAGACCTGGACCCGGGACCGATTTACTTTTTTGTTTTGAGGTCCCTGAGGCCAAATTCACCATCCGTTCAAATTCATATATACAGGGTGTCTCAAGAGAGGTGTCTCAAATCGATTACGGAAAAACGGCTTAATGTACAAGGATGAAATAAAATTATTTCCCGCTAAATCGACCCCAAGGAATAACGTAAAAATATTTTTAACTTTTTCCCAATACAGGGTGTGCCGAAAACTGAGGGTCACTAGTTGGAATCTCGGAATTTTCAAATGTAAACATATGTCATGTTATACATCATTTTAAAGGTATTTGATAGACAAACATTTTAGTGAAAACAGAAAGTAGTTATCTTTTTCCGTTTCAAAATGGCGGCAGTTTTTTTGGAAAAAATCTATATTTTTTTAATATTCTGTGTTTCCTATACCAATGTATTTATCCCTTCTCCGGTTAAATTTTCTTACTCGTTATGAAATTAGCTTTACTTTGATATGCTACAAGTAACGGTTTTTTGAAATTATAAAAATAAAAAATAAAAATTATTTTTGAAAATTTCCAAATGCTCATTTTTCAAAAATTTCAAGTAGCAACATATGTCAAGTGGCACATCATTTTATAGATTTTTTAATTCCTAACAACTTTGTAATTTACACTTACTTCGTATCTCGTTTACTTTTTGCGTAAATAACAAAAAACCTAATTTTCCTATATCAAATGCATGTTATTTGGGTTTGACGTGGTTTAACACTTCATCAAATTGGGCCTTTAGTGTTAAACCCAAATAACATGCATTTGATATAGGAAAATTAGGTTTTTTGTTATTTACGCAAAAACTAAAAGAGATACGAAGTAAGTGTAAATTACAAAGTGTTTAGGAATTAAAAAACCTATAAAATTATGTGCCACTTAACATATGTTGCTATTTGAAATTTTTGAAAAATTAGCATTTGCAAATTTTCAAAAATAATTTTTTTGGGAATTTTTATAATTTAAAAAAACCGTTACTTGTAGCATATCAAAGTAAAGCTAATTTCATAACGAGTAAGAAAATTCAACCGGAGAAGGGATAACTGCATTGGTATAGGAAACACAGAGTATTAAAAAAATATAGATCTTTTCCAAAAAAACTGCCGCCATTTTGAAACGGAAAAAGATAACTACTTTCTGTTTTCGCTAAAATGTTTGTCTATCAAATACCTTTAAAATGATGTATAACATGACATATGTTTACATTTGAAAATTCCGAGATTCGAACTAGTGACCCTCAGTTTTTGGCACACCCTGTATTGGGAAAAAGTTAAAAATATTTTTACGTTATTCCTTGGGGTCGATTTAGCGGGAAATAACTTTATTTCATCCTTGTACGTTAAGCCGTTTTTCCGTAATCGATTTGAGACACCTCTCGTGAGACACCCTGCATATCTAGTCTTTTAGGCTTTTACAACAAAAGTGGTATTTCTCCTATTTAAATGAGGTTCATTTTACTATTTATATATGTGTCCGTTAGCGCGATAACTCAAGCAAAATTCATCCGATTTTGATGAAATTTGGTACAAACGTGTAAACCTACGTTAATTTGAACGAGTTCGCGAACAAGCATGATCAGACTATGGGACCAGGGGTTAATGGGGGGTTTTATGGGGTAAAAATTGGTTTTTCTCATTTTTGACCCTGGGTCAATCCATTTCAAGTCATACAAGCATTGTTGCTCAACATTTTTAATTTTTATGAAACTTTCATAAAATGTTAACTGTATCAATATAATTGACATGCAAGTGTCAAGAAATTTTTTTTCTCAAAATCTTTTTTGGTGGCCATTTTTTTTTGCGTAACGCGCGTTTTTTATGAAAATTGACGTTTAGGCCTACTAAATAATTTAATAGCTATTTTATTTTTTAAGATATCTGGGCAAATTCAAAACCAAATTATTCAGCAAGAAATGGGCTTAAAATTGACTTTTAATAAATTACATAAATATGGTGTATAGCATGTAAAATGCTAAAACGTAAAAAAAAGATTTCAGTGGCGAAAATGCAATTTTCTCTGCAATATTTTCATAAGAAATGTATTTACTCACCTTAAATATTTTTTGTATTTTGACGTTGGCATATGAGACGGTCTAAATCTCAAGTTTGGGTTATGGAAGTCTTATCCTTTTTTCTTTATAGGTCTATAAATATGGTAAATTATCCAATTTCCGACATTTTCAAGATCTTATATCACAAAAGGGATTGAACCAAAATCAATGAAATTTTTGTCATAAGTACTTGTTGGCTAGTTGTTGTAATTATGATGTATAAGTTTGATCACTGAGACTCAACTAGTTTAGAAGATGTAACATCAAAGTTGGGCGAAAATAGCATTTTAACAAGTAGCATTAGAACAAGTACCTAGTCAACTAAGCTAATCAGTTTTTATTCACTTGTTTTGAAAGGGTATGTTAGGCTACTATGTTCATTGTGGACATACAATCATATACATTGTTATCATTGTAAAATGTAACTTTTCGAAAAGGGCACCACACCTAAAATATTGCAAAAAAAAAAAAAAACAGATCTTCAGCTAACCTAGAAGTGAGTAAACGTGATTTAGACCGATGAATCTGGTGGCTATAGGATAGACTCGCCTTTGTTCCCTAGTTGTTAGTCGTCATTAGTAGATTAGAGTTGTAACAAAGTTGAAACAAAGCGGGCAGTGAAACAGTCAATATTACATAGGCCTAATAAAATTTCACGAATACATTAGAGGAGGTTGGGAAGTTAATTTCAAGCTCCACCTTAAAGAACCCCTTATAAACAATCTTGTCTAAAGATGATAAAAACAAGATCAGTAGATAAGTTTAGTTGTAACAAAGCAGGAAGTGAAACTGACGATATAACGTTAAATGAAAGCAATTTCATGTTTATATTAGAGGAGGTTTATAAGTTGAGTCCGAGCTCCAATTCAAACCCCCTTCTAATAACTAAATAAATAAAAATATCTTTTTAAATGCTGTAAGATTATTAAATGTTAAGGTATTTTTACAAGTGAGTTATTGGTCAAACGAAGTGATAAAATAAGGATAATTGGGGTCGTAATAGTTCAATATTAAAGTAATAACAATTTCTTAGTTAGTCGTCATTAGTAGATTAGAGTCTAGCCCCAGTCCCCCATTGTGGGGTGTTGACTTATTAGATTACTTACTACATCCTTGGCAAATTTGAAATCTCTAGTAACAAATATCTAACAGCCACTTTCAAACCTATTCCCTATAAAAATAAAAGGGGGAAATTCAAGACTTGGGGGGAGGGGGGAGTGAAAGGCAAAGACCAAGAAGCGTAAAGAAGTCAAAAAGGCAATACAAATAAAAACAACTGTCAGAAGCTTAAAAAGTTATTTCCCATAAGAATAACTTGGGAAAATTCTTAAAAAGGGTTATTATAGGAAAATTAAAAATTGTCTAGTTTGTTTGGAGGACAGGAAATTTTATATTTGGGGGGGGGGGGGTTGTTGTTGTAAAACGTCACTTTTCAAGACGCAAGACCTAAAGACCTACAATCGTGCCAAAATTCTGATCTCCAGTTTATGTAGAAGTGGGTAAACGTGATTTCGACCGATGCACTTGTAGGAATGACATTGGGGAAGTCAATATTTTGGAAGGGGGTTATTATTATTTTCAAATGTCAATTTCCGAAAAGGGTGCAAGACCAACAATCGGGCAAAATTTCAGTATCTCCAGTAATCTAAAAATGGGTAAACGTGATTGAGACCGATGCACCTGTAGTGACTATAGGAAAGATATAAGGGGATAAATCGATTTTGGAAGGGGGTGGGGCATTTTTATATGGTTCATTTCATATTCACCTTGGTGTTAGCTCTAATACAGTAAAGTGTGTACAGTGTCAATACCCTTGTGCCCATATAACATGTAAAGAGTCCTTTTAAAACTTTGTAAATGTAATGGAGCTCGTAAAAATATTTCACATTTTGACATTAAACTTAAGTTTTTAGGGGTTAAGGAGTAAAGTTACGAAAAATCATGTATAGTGTAAAATTAAGGGTAAACTAAGGAAAATACAAAGCATTAATAATAATTGCAAAAACAAATCGCAAAGGTAGGAAAACGTCGCGAAAACCAATAAAATACTTAAAAGGAGAGAGGTCCCCAATTTTGGATTTTTGGGGTGGTTAAAATTTTAAAATGGGAATTTTGCGAATTTCACCGTTAATTTAAGATCCCATACTACGCTAGTGCCAAATTTCAAGTCTCCATCACGTTTCTAAACCTTTCAGATGAGCACACCAAAGTCGGCCACCATAGTCGGGATGTTTTCCTCCATAAGAATAACATGTTGCTCGTAAAAACTTTCAAATTTTGACATTAAAATTAATATTTGGGGGTCAAGGAGTAAAGTTACGAAAAAACATGTATTAGTAAAATGTAAAGTAAAGTAAGGAGAATACAAAGCAATAAAAATATTTTCCAAAAGGAATTAATTAAGTATGAAAAAATAGCGAAAAC